GTTCCTAATGGCTGCCAGAGGTTTTTTTCAGGGCTGATGGGGACGCGCAGACAGGCGAGTCTCCTACAAACTGAGGAACAAGCCATGCTTGCAGAAACCTCATTCATAGCGGCAGACTGGGCCTCGTGGCACAATGCCATTTGCTCTAGGAACCCTCGACCCCAGGAACCAGAGGTCATTCTAACCTTTTCTCTGTCCTTCTTCTTGTCTGGAATTGCTTCTAACCACGCACTTCTTGCTTATCCAGACGTGCAAAGGCAAAATAACCTAGACATGCAGGCAAATACACAAATACCGGAAACACTTGCCTTGTACACAGGGGCCCTCGATTTTGTCCAGGACTTTGTAAACGTTTGCTTGTGTACAGGCCCTTGGTTTTCCAAGTTGCCTTTGCATATTTTAAGCTTTCCAACTGCACTATCCAAGAAACAGAACCTATATAGGGCTGCTTTTCTCCTCTTTATGGACAGCAAGAAGTGGAGGGTTGTGTGGGGTAGGTACTGCAACTGCTCCTTTGTAGACGAGGTGCCATAGCCCCTGTGTAAAGATGGGGATGCATGTAGGAATGGAAAGGTAAATCTATAAGGAAGAAGGTTGCCTTATATGTGAGCAGAGGCCCTGAGCCTCCTTAGCTTTTAAATTTCTTAGACCCCTGGATCTGGCCAGGGTCTCCCTGTACCAAAAGGCATATGGAGATTTTTTTCCTGAGCCTCTTCCACTTTTTACAGACTTGTATAGAGAAAAGAGAAATTGTAACTTTATTTTGTGTACAGCCAAACATCATGGGCATTTACTTACCTTGACCAAAGGAGGTAACTCAAACTTAAAGGCAAGGAAGAATGGACATGATCAGCTGTATCTCACAGATGAACAAGCTGAAGCAAGGACATAATTTGTTCTATGTCTCACATTAGTAGAACCTAAACTAGCCTTCCATCCCATTGCTATTTTAGCTAGACCCATCAATCTTATGGGCACTTGGGAAATGCCTATAAAGGAACCTTCCAGAACACAAAGGCCTGAGGACCCTTTCACCTGAGGAAGTGAAAAATTATCCCCTGAGATTTAACAACTGCAGTCCTGCCTGGACATACCCCAATCATACCCTCTTTATTGGTGAGGAATCTCACAAATCACTCCTTGTGGTAAAGAAGTAGTCTTATTCATAGACATGTCAATCTGTAACATGGCTAATTCTCAATAGCCTATTGTAATGAGAAACAGGAATGTTTAATTGAAGTGTACAGATACTCTGAAAACCTTATTTGTATAGTCATCATAACCTCTAATCCCACCAAAGTTTTTAGCAAGGGTTGCTCAAAGAGAATTGAGTCGGCTGGCAAGATGGTAGAATGGAATGAACATAGGTCTTAGAGCCAGAAGAACTGTCTACAGACTGACAATGAAGGGGGATGTTATGGCAGTAAATGAACAATGGGAAGGAGAAAGGAGGGAACTTAGAAGCAACAAATCCTGAAAAAAAAATTGAATTAAGGTGTAAAATAATTCTCAAAAGCTACCCTTTAAGTAAATGGCAGCCCAACAGACATTCAAACCCAGGTCTGAAGGATTCCAAAGTTCATGGTGCTTCCACAGCACCAAAATTTTCAGTTTTCTCATCAGAAAATTGCATACTTACCCTCAGAGGGTATTGAGGCCATTAAAAGAGATCAGGTATATAGAACAAATTCATAAACAGGAAATCTTAAGGATCACCATATTATTTTTTATGTTTAAATGTGGTGCTATCCATAATTATACCATTATCAGGAAAGGTTAACTACTGTGAGCATACTAGAGACATATACTTTGTTTGAATTTTGAGCTCTGATCCCCCATCTCAAATCTCATTTTCTTCCCATTGCTTTCAAGAAGATCAAGAGACAACTGCTGAAGAAAAATATATAAATTCAGTGCTTGTACAAGCTTTCTTACTCTTCTTTCTCCTTCTCCTCCTCCTCTTTTTTGCAATTTTTTTTAGCAATCTAATAGAACCAGTAGTGTTCTCTCAGGTCAGTGGAGTTGAGGATACATTTCTGCTGTGGGCTTCCTCTGCAATTTCAAAGGAGCTTTGTTAATGGAATCTTCCCTAGTTCCTTGCTCTGGAAATCCAGAATGAGCTGATCTTTGGAAAATGATGGACACATTCATCAAGTCCTATGGGTTTTACTTCCTAAATATCTAGCAAATTTGCCCACTTCTCTTCATCTCTGTTCCTGCCAACCTAATTCAAGGCACCATCCTTTAACACCTGGACCACTGTAAATGGTCTCCTTCCTTCCACTCTTACTTTCCTAGAGTCAGTTCTGCTTTGAGCAGCCAGAGGAATTTTTTAAACAGCCTTATTATGATATAATTGACATACAATGCACTGCACATATTTAAAGTTGTACAAAACGATAATTTTTGACATATGCATACACTTAGGAAACTATCACCCAAACATGACAGTGAACATATCTATCATCCCAAAAGTTTCTTTTGTACCTCTGTGTTTCTTCCCTCTACCCCTTCCACACTCCCCCTCAGGTAACCAATGACCTGCTTGCTATTAGTATAGATTAGTTTTTATTTTCCAGAATTTTATATCAATGGAATCACACAGTATGAGCTCTTTTTGAGGGGTTATGCATCTTTCACTGACCATAATGCCCTTTACGTCCATTCAAGCTGTTATGCATATCATTAGTTTGTTCTTTCTTATTGCTAAGTAGTAGTACATTGAGTTGTTGTGACACAGTTTGTTTATTCATTTACTTGTTGATGGACTTTAGTTTTTTGTTTTTTTGTTTTTTTCCATTGGGGGTCTATTGCAAATAAAGTTGCTATGAATATGCATGCAAAAGTCTTCATATGGACATATGCTGTCATTTCTCTTGGGTAAACACTTAGTAGTGGAATAGGTAGGTCAGAGGGAAGATGTGTATTTACCTTTATAAAAAACTGCCAAACCGTCTTCTGAAGTGGTTGTACTATTTTACATTTCCACCAATATGAGAATTCCAGTTTCTCCACATCCTCACTAGCACTTAGTGTGTATGGTCAGTCTTTTTAACTGTTAGTGAGATATAAGTGTTTCTCATGAAAGCAAGTGTTAATGAGGTTTAAGTGTTTCTCATTTAATTTATATTTATCCAATGAATAATGATGTAGTGCATTTTTCATGTGCTCATTTTTGATTTATGTACTTTCTTTGATGAATACTTTGCCCCAATTTTTAGCCCGTTATCAAAATTGGGCTGCTTATATTTCATTATGGAGATTTTAGAGTTATTTATATATTTTGGACACAAGTCCTTTATCAGAAATATAATTTAACAATATCTTTTCTGTCCATGGTCTGCTTTTATTTTTTTACCAGTGTCTTTTAAAAAGCAGATGCTTTTAATTCTGATGAA